CTCACACAATGCTTGCTTCTAAAAGTCTCGGGGTAACAGCGTTAAGGTTAGCATGACACTTGCTAACAAACGTCATGCATTACAGTTCCCTTCTGTCAGTTCTTTTCTTTGCTTCCACATGATCATTCCCCTCTATCCGGCGTTGGTGAGGCCTCATCTGGAGTACTGTGTCCAGTTTTGGGCCCCCCACTACAAGAAGGATGTGGAAAAATTGGAAAGAGTCCAGCAGAGGGCAACAAAAATGATTAGGGGTCTGGAGCACATGACTTATGAGGAGAGGCGGAGGGAACTGGGATTGTTTAGACTGCAGAAGAGAAGAATGAGGGGGGATTTGAAAGCTGCTTTCAACTATCTGAAGGGGGGGTTCCAAAGAGGATGGATCTAGTCTGTTCTCAGTGGTACCAGATGACAGAACAAGGAGTAATGGTCTCAAGTTGCAGTGGGGGAGGCCTAGGTTGGATATGAGGAAAAACTTTTTCACTAGGAGGGTGGTGAAGCACTGGAATGGGTTACCTAGAGACGTGGTGGAATCTCCTTCCTTAGAGGTTTTTAAGGACAAAGCTCTGGCTGGGATGATTTAGTTGGGGATTGGTCCTGCATTGAGCAGGGGGTTGGACTAGATACCTCCTGAGGTCCCTTCCAACCCTGAGATTCTATGATTCGGGGTCCTCATAGTGAGGCCATGGCGCTGCCCCATAGGGAATGCTGAAGCGTGCCCCTGAGGGATGTCTGGACAGCGAGCTCCATGTGGCAGCCCCTTGATAGCCAAAGCCTCAGGGTGGGGGCAAATTGTCCTGTTAAACAGGAAGGGGTGATCGCTATGGGGTCTGTATCTGGTGGGGTTAACCAGCGGGACCCCAAGGGTGAGTGATCACTATGGGGTCTGTATCTGGTGGGGTTACCCAGCGGGATCCCCAAGGGGTGGGTGGTAGGAATCTGGCCAGTTGTTGGAGGGTCATGGGTGACCGTCTTTTGGCAGAGAGGAGGGAACTGGAGATACTGGCACTTCCCACCCCAGGTTACTCTTGTTCCCTAGTCCCCTCTCTTGCCAATGGCAACCAACCGGAAACCTGCCAACATGTTTCCCACAGCCCCAAGAACAGACCTCAGCTAGGACTGACATTAGATCCCTCTCTACCTGCATTAGACCTGGTTCTTGGAGGTGAAAGGCTCCATAACTCATTCCCTGATTGTGCTAAGTTGCTCAGGCCTGGGGATGGATATGAACCAGTGCCCTAGATGAGAAAGCCCCCGTGTCTGATTCCTCATCCCCACCCTGTGCCACCCAGTCTGCCTGAGCTAGGGCTGGACTGATACCAGTGACCTGGAGATGAAAGGCCCCTAATCCCATTCCACACCCTCGCAGATCCCTGTTTATCTTCATGTTACCTATGGAGAAGAGGGCTAATAGTTTCCAAGCGTGAGTTAACACTCCCGTCTCGCTCTCGTAACATGCTATTGCACGCTTGCTTTGTAGGTACAAGCCTCCGTCTACAGAGAACAACCCCACGCTGGAAGATCCCACTCCAGATTACATGAACCTGTTGGGGATGATTTTCAGCATGTGTGGCTTAATGCTTAAGGTGAGCAGGAAAGGAATGAACATTAGATCTTGCGTAGGTAAGATGCCTTCTAGGGCGAAGCAAACATGAGACGCATGCTCTTTATTATAAAGGACATCTGTGCAGCTGGGCGCTGTAGCACTCCATAGCCTCCCCGTGCCTGTTCCCTTAACCAATGGCTGATCTTTCACAGAATCCTAGAACTGCTGGGCAAGGAGGGACCTCAAGAGGGACCTAGTGTGTATCTGAATTGCAAAGACAAACCCACGGTGCCGAGTCTCAGAGCCAGAGCAACTGGCTCTGCTGCAGGGCTAAAAATAGCAGTGTAGACGTTCCCACTCAGGCGGGAGCCTGGGCTCCAAGACCCTCCTGCTTTGGCAGGTTTCAGATCCCGGGCTCCAGCCCAGGCGGGAATGTGCACACTGCCATTTTTAGCCCTGCAGCTCAAGCCCCGTGAGTCTGAGTCAAGTGCCCCAGGCTCTGAGACTCAGCGCCACAGGTTTTTCTTTACAGTGTAGACATGCCCAGAGTGCATCTCCCCCCCACCCACTGAGGCAGGGTTAAGTATGCCAAGACCATCCCTGACAAACGTTTGTCTAACCTGTGCTTGAAAACCTCCAGTGACAGGGATTCCACAGCCTCCCTGTGTTAAATGATTTGGGGGATGGAAGAGGGGGAGACCTAGAGTGGTCTAAGCCATTGCACTGAAACAGGATTGGAAGAGGAGTCGTCATTACTTCTGTTCCTGGCTGAGTGTTTAGTGGGTAGAAAAGGGAACTGGGAGTCCAGGCTCTAGTGGGCTCTTCCTGGCTGGAAGGAGGGAGTGTGTCCTAATGGTTAAATCGGGGACTGGGAGCCAGGACTTCAGGGTCCTGTTCCCAGCTCTGCTACTGACTTGCTGTGTGACTTTGGGCGAATCGGTGAAATGGTATTGATACTAACTTCACAAGGGAGCAGGGATTGTGATCTTTGTTTAAGGAATGTTTTAAAGAGCTCTGAGACTTGCCCAGTATTATTAGCTATTGAAGATCCTGAGAGATCCCATAAGTGCCCACTTTGAGGGTCTCAAATTAGTTCCTCTGTGTTTCTAGCTGAAGTGGTGTGCTTGGATTGCTGTCTATTGCTCCTTCATTAGCTTTGCCAACTCCAGAAGCTCAGAGGACACCAAACAGATGATGAGCAGCTTCATGTGAGTCATTGTCTTCCTTTAACCGTCTTATTCACTGACCATGTGAATCGAAGACATGGGTCCAAATGTGCCTACCTGTCCACGTTGTGGTTAGAGCAGAGGAGTAGAAGCCAGAACTTCTGGGTTCTGTGCCCAACTCTGCCACTAATACTGCATGATTTTGTACTTTGACACTTTCCTGCTGCCTTGGTTTCTCCATCTGTAAAATGGGGATAAAATGGCATTGGTGATTAGTACGGAGCGCTCTTCATCCTAGTCCGCAATGAACCAGCGCCCCAGCATGGTGCTTTGGTGATAGAGGGCTGGTCTGTTGGAGGTGCCATTGTTTGAATGAGATGTAAAAGCAAGGTCTCGCTCGTTCTTGGATATTAAATTCTACAGCATCTTTTCCTAAAAGCTGAGCTGTGAACCCATGTCCTGACCAGTTCCCAACTCTGGAATCTACAGTCTGTTTCCTTAAATACCTACACTGCAGTTCCAGTTGGATGAAAAATTCTTCATCTCCTGTCAAAAACTGGTACAGTGTTGGATGTTAAGCAGCTGCTGCCTTCCACTGTAGAGGTGGCTACACCTCTGTGTGGGTGAGCAATCCTTGTATGCATGGTTGAGAAAGCAAGTACTTTGGAATCCCTGGGAATTGTTCACCAACATGCTAGTGCTGTACAAGACCCAGACATGACGGTGGATATTGAAATAATAATAAAAAAACCTCATGGTTGGTTGGTTTTTAAAACGATTGATTTTCTTCCTCTGGATTCAGGTTGTCTATCTCTGCTGTGGTGATGTCCTATCTACAGAATCCCCAACCCATGTCCCCGCCTTGGTGAAGAGATTACAGCTCATTGCACAACTCCTTCTTGCAAATCCCAGAGAGACACTGTCGGGGGAGAGGAAGGATTCACACACTAGAACCATCTGTTTGTACAAGCAGCGTGGTGTAACACTCGGCTATCAAATTAAATGGGTTGTTGTTGTAGGAGCTTTGGTTTAAAAAAACAATCTGTGCGCATGTAGAATGGTGCCTTTCGTCTCTTTGTCACCAGTTTCATAGGGGCTGAAAGTACTTACCATCTCTGATATTTTGTGGGTCTCAGTCCAGTTTCCAAGGTTCCGCATTGTAAAAATAAGTCACCATGACTGGCACTAACTGGCTTGTTGACGGTACAGAGGCCAAGTGTTGACTAGGCCACAGAGATTGCTCTCTGCTGGGTGGGGTCCTCGCCTATTGGGAAGACGGCATTGGGGGGAAGCTTAAGCTGGCCCCAGCCCATGCTGCATCTGCTCTGTGGACAGAGGACTTTAGTCTCAGAGGTTTGTTCTGTTGGCACCTTTTCACCAGCACCAGATCAATACACACTTTAGCTTCAAAGCAGCAGGATGCTGCTGGCTGTAGTTCACCTCCGAGGCCAGCGGCGAAAGGCTGGGGGCTTGAGCCTAGAACATGGTTATTAGGAAGCACTCGCACCGTTTCACAGAAAAGGGCTGAAGCGTCAGATTCAGCAGGCATGTGGATGGAGGGATGGGGCTGTGCAAACCTTGCCCCAGCCCTCAACGCTCCTGGTGGCAGCGCAAAGCACAGCTGGCCCTGTCCCCGCACAAAGGGGCCGGTCTCAGCTCCCTGGGAGAGATTCACTCCAGGCCACGGAGCCCACCAATGGGGGAGCCCCTCACTGGCTCTCAGGAGGCATCCCCTAGAGACTGGCCCCCTGGGAGGTGGTTGCCCCAGCCCTCCCCACTCCCTGCCCTCAGGCCTGCCGTCAAGGGGGGAGTCAGTTTTGGGAGGGAGATAGACGGAGGTGGGATTTTGTGGGAGCTAGGGGAGGTGTCCATGGGCAGGGGGGAAAGGTGGAGGGGGGTGGTGGTTTGTGGGATCTGGGTGTTTGGTGGGGGGTTGAGAGAGCGGGGGGGCATAGGAATGTGGGGACTGGTGGCGGTGCCGGGGGGGGGGGGCAAGTGTGGGGCATAGGAATGTCAGGGGGATTGTGGGGGCTGGGGACAGTG